TTAATAATATTTATATTGCTATTATCAGAAAATTGTTAAGCATATGACCATGTTCACAATTTTCTAAATAAAACGCTACATTAATGTGGAAAAATAAACTTTGGCAATAATGGAAAATGTATATACTGCATGAATGGAATGAATACGTTTATTGAAGCAGCAGTGAAAGTTAGTGATTCAACACCAGCACGTTAGTTCATTCGGTCAAAGTTTACTTTCAACGTTCCAACGCACAAATGAGTGTTATTACTCCTCGTGTCATTGAAAAACCAATCAAGAGAAAATGTTACCATTTTGTCAGCAAATGACATCATTTACCTGCTTTCCCAAAGCATGATTTGCAATTTCCTCCAATTTGGCGCTGTCAGTCATCCTGCAATAGCAGACGTCAGATTTGTCGAATGATGGACGTCTCATATTGGTGCAGAGTTTTCTCAATTTTGCTGAAAACAGCAGGAACAGGCTGCATTAGTTCCATCGACCCACAGGCTGTCCGGGTCCAAAGACAGATTTTATACGACTCGGTCGGGTTATGACACTTTTTTTGGGCGGTTTGAAAAAAAATAAATGCTTACTTGAATTGATACACAACCCTTGGGCAGTGTGTACATTTTGCCATCAAGTGAGTGCCCATTAAAATTTAACAAGTGCTATAAATAGGGTTTTTTTTAATGCATCGTTCAAATAGGTTGTCGTCGTGTCTGTAACAAGGTCCGCTGATGGATTTTTGTAAAACATAATTGCCTGTGGGGTCACAAGGAGACGAACACAATTTTTTAGAGGTTGTGCGTCAAACGTTTTTTTAATAGCTCTGTTTTAAAAGTCTTATTCCTGTACCAAAGCGCCCCCTAGCGGCCACACCATCTATTCCCCCACACCCCCAATCTCCATAGTCTTTCTGACTTAGAGTTCAATTGGAATCTATCTATTTGTTTAGTAGAAAAAACATTTTAAGTAGGAATGTCCGATAATATCGGCCGACCGATATTATCGCACCAATGTTAGCATAATTATTTAATATCAGTAAAGGTTGTTATTGATTTTTTTTCTCCGGTAAAGAAAACCTGATAATGCGATGCCTGGGTTTTGCCCAGATGATGTGGCTCTAAAAATAGTTTTGGGGAAAAACGGCTGTATATGAAAGTGAAAGTCACTAGATGGCAGCATTGCAACTCATTTTATGAATGCATTTTGATAATCAGGGGATCGTATGCAGAATGCTGGTACCAGGCCCTTAATAGTATTTCAATTTGGGGGGAATAAAAAAATTTCTGCCCCCTAGTGGTGGCATGTCATAAAAATTATTGAAAAACACTGCTTTAATCTATCACCTTAGTGAGCAGGCAGCACTTAACTTCCCTAACCATCAGGCCACCGTTATCGGTATCGGTTGATATCGGAATATTTTAACAACTATTTTCTATTGTTTCTCACTGAGCATTGCACTAACCAGACACGTTTCCTGTGGTGTGCAGGTGTGTTTGTTGGAGTGTGAGGGCCACGTCTCCTCCTCACTCACATGGGAGCTGTGCAAACGTGCTGTCAAGCTGACACAGCACCACTTGATTCCCGAGGGAGATGCTCTGTTTAAGAGAACAGGAGAGGAGCTGGACTTGGCCTCCCTGGGCCTGAACTCAGACGACGAGCTGCCGCAGGAGGACGACCAGGATGACACACCGGTGGAGCAGCGCAGTGTTCACTATGACTCATCGCTGCTGGACTCCTCCGAGGACAAGGACGGCCTGCAGGATTTGGACTTCAGTCTGCTGGACGACGAGATGAAGCTGAGGGAGGAGAGGAGCATGGAGAGCGACGGCCAGCTGGAGGAGGGCGAAGGCGACAGCTCCGAGGCCGTCATCTTGTCCAAACGCTTCGGCGGCTTTCAGAGAGGGCGCCACAGCTACAGGAAGCTGATTGGCTCGCCCATGAGGGCACCGCGGAGAGGGCACGGCGGGGTCT